AATATATAGGCCTACACTTTCTTTTATATAAAAAAAAAACCTTTCGTAGTTTGTGGCCAGACATAGGAAAATGCTATCTATGCTGTCTATATGTCTGGGGAATACAAGGTTATGGATAAAATTATATTGAAAATGAACAAGAATGCTATGTAAATCATATATGTGCTGACCAGTCTCCGAATCTTGTTGGTAGAGCAATATTTTGTTGTTGTTTTGATGCAGTAAAAAAAAAATTGGAATTGTTCAAGAAATAGCCCATAAAACTTCTATCCATTATCTACAAATAGATAGACAGGCCAACGTAATATTAATATGAAAGTATTGAAAGTCTGACACATCAGGATCTGTAGTGGGTGTGGGTAATAATTAACTTTCCTTTCCAATCAATATTCTTAAATGTGGGAGTAGAAGCAATTTCTAGATTGATTATTCGCTGCAAATGGCTTGAGAAATATATATATATATATATATATATATATATATATATATATAAACTTGTAGATGATGAAGATGACATTAATGAGTTTAAAACAACAAGGACTCAAGGTAAACAACGTTCATTTTCTATCTCATTGGGGTGGGGGGGGGGGGGGGGGGACACAATCATTTGTATGAGGTGTCTCAAACAGCATGTAAATCAATGGGAATTTTTAAAAAATTAAACAAGGCTCCCATTAATAGGGGCTAAAAGTAACAATTGTGTCTGTTGTTTTTTTTATATTTGACTCCTTATTTATTAAGATAAAAACAATGCAACACATACACATAAACAATAGACTGAAAATTTAAAATGAACTTAAAATCTTGTTAGTAATTTTTTTTTGAGATATCAATGAAAAAAACGTGCTCTGGTCAAGGTTGTGACTTCTTGTCCCAAGTTACTACAGCGAAATTTAGTCACTGAAATTTAATTAAATTAAAATCGATCAGTAGTGATATCTCAGTTTATAACATCAACACTTAACTCTACTTCATGACATTTTTCCTCTCTAAAATTCTCTGGGGTTTGGGTACAGACAGTAACATCAAAGGACGGGGGTGCGAACTGCACCTGGAGATACCCAAATAAATTTAAAAAATCCAATACATTATTTTAATTAAGAGAAAAATATGGCACTGTACAATTGAATCAGTAACACGTTATATATAGGCCTACATTAATATACTTTACACTAAAACTAATCACATCGGGTGGCCCCAAGCATTGTGACGCATCTGGATAAAAAATAACTTCTCATGATATCTGCAAAACAATCAACATATAACCAGCAGATTATGTCCGTCGGTGAACAGAAAAATTATTAATTTAATTAAAACCCTTCATATAATTAAAACAAAGAAAAAAAACATGATGTTGCCTAGCAACACGGTGTAGCTTGTAACCCCACGCAGTGTATTAGCTTTGTAACCCCACGCAGTGTGTTAGCTTGCCCCACAACAGTATTTGACGGATTCCCCCCCCCCCCCACCCCCACCCTCCCCCATATGCAGGGGCGGAACTACAGTGCCGCCAGACCCCGCAATGCGGGGGGGCCCACGACGTTTAGGGGCCCAATTCCGACCAAAAAAACAAACAATGAATTTTCTTTTCATAAATAATATTTTTCGCGCACCTTGATAGTGGTTTTGTAAAAAACAAACATGTCTACTATAGCAGTGATTGTTCTACAGTAACTAACACACACTGTTGCGTAGAAAAATATAAAATCTACAAGAGCTGTAGTTTGAAAGATAGACAAACGTTCACACTACTTCCATGACTTACAGCCCTTCTTTAAAATAAGGGTCCCCATAAAGCTCATTTAAATAGCTTTGTACTGTGTAAGTTAAAAAGCAATTTATTCTCTTAATTATTATCTAAATAAGGCATACTAACGAATCCTAAAGGTATAAAAATGAATGTATTCAAAACTAATAATATAAATACAAAAAATCATAAAATTAAACAACGCGAGAAACCATTGCACAAATCAAGCTTACGTATTTATATAAATTTGACCAGCTTGAAAAATTTAATTGTATTATCAATATGCGGGTAAACATGAAAATGTAATTAAAACACTTGTAAAACAGGGATTATTGCGGGCCCGAAATGAGTTCGGACTTATTGTTGTCTGGTTCGTTATCTCAGAGTGGTTATACATTGCAATGAAATAGATTAAAATAGACTATTTAAAAATTAGAGAAGCACGCTACTTATATATATATATATATATATATATATATATATATATATATATATATATATATATATATATATATATATATATATATATATATATATATATATAGGGGGGCCCAAAATTTTTATTTGCGGGGGAGCCTTTTTTTTCTAGTTCCGCCACTGCCCATATGTTTACTATCTCGTATACAGAGTATTGTAATCGTGCAGAAAAATTAAATGGTATTTTAACAGTTTTTGCAAGTTTTCTCCTCCCCACAGTCATATACGTAATGTAAAGGATGCGTAGTGATCATGCAAAAATCTAAATAGAGATTTTGACAAATTTTGACGTTTTATGAATTCGCGGAGCTGAAAAGATCTTAGTTACCATTTTGTCTGTTTTTAATGTGTGTCTGTAGACATGATTACTTGAGTACCGTTTTAGTTATGTAGGCCAAATTTCAGCTATAAGAGTTTTTATCGAATTTGTAGTTTTCTTTCAACTTTGTGAGCGATTTCCGGTAACCAGAAATGATATATACTGTACTTCCGGTCTATCAAAAGCTGATAGCTTGAGTACCATTAAGCAGTGGCGTAGCGAGGTCGGGTGTCACCCGGTGCGGCACTTAATGGTGTCACCCCCCAGAGGCGTAGCGACCCTTCCTGGGTACAAACTTTCAAATTTTCGATTTTTTGCATTCCCCCCCCCTGAAACTTTGCACCTCTTAAAACACTATTTAACACTCGAATTAATAACTTAATTAAGTCACTACGTGGAATTATCATTTTTCTCTATATATTTTGCTATTTTTTGCCTTGGTGTCGCCCCCCTAAATGGTGTCACCCGGTGCGGTCCGCCCCCCCCCCAGTGTTTCTTCCAGACTTTTTTTCTCCGGGGGGGCACTTGAAATCTTCGGGGGGGGGGGCGGTAAACTTTCTTCGGGGGGGGGGGCGGACACTGTTAAAAGTATATATTTTCTATATAAATTATATAAATTTCATATCGTTCGGGGGGGGGGGGGGGGGCGGTAAAAAATTTTCGGGGGGGCTTCGCCCACCCGAAGAGATGCCTGGAAGAAACTCTGCCCCCCCCCTCGCTATGTGACGGTGATGAGGGGGAGGGGGGTAGATGGTGTGACGTCATACTTTTGCATTATAAAACAACAATGTTAGAAATCGAGTTTTAGCCGTTATTTAGCGTTTGAGACAACTGTTTAAATAATTGATTAAAATACTCTATGTTGACAGAGTTCAAACAAGATTTTGGAAAAATATCGATGTTTTAAGAAAAGTTCAACTGCAATTTTGAGGAGGGTTGTAAAAAAAGCGTGACGTCATTTATAGATAACCCAAAGGCGAAAACTATCACCCTAGTCGCCCGTTGTATTTCTCACTCAATTGGCCATTTATCTAGTTGTAACGAAAATGTTTATTGCAAAATGAAAGTTCTTGATTTTTAAGTAGTCACTCTAACTGATTTATTAACATCCCATAGTTGAAATGTGTGTAGGAATATTCCTTATATTACTGTATATTTCCTTTATTACTAAATTAGGCTCTAAATTATAACTATTTCAGTGAAACAGCTCTCCCGCCACTTTCGCCGTAGTACCGTAGTAGTATGCGGGTCAAAAAAAGGAAACAAACACTAACTTCATAATTATCTATATATATATATATATATATATATATATATATATATATATATATATATATATATATATATATATATATATATATATATATATATATATATATATATATATATATAATTCTCTTCTTGGATACCCTAGAAAACACCAAGCTGTAAGCGCGCCTAGCAGCCCCCTCTCTTCCTCTAAAAGCATATCCCTACCACCCCCACCTGCACATGGTCTGGTGAGCTGTTGTTCACGCTAAATGTTTACAATCGTAGAGCCGGGTTTAGTGACGGCTATTAGGGGCAGATAATTTAGTTTGAAACGATTTTAAACTTAGGGGAGGTAATTAAGAGGAGGCTGCTTTCACAAGGGGGGGGGATAGGGTTGGTGGAAAGGAGGGTGGCGGGGGGAGGATGTCGTCCTTAACGACCTACAGATAGTGTTTTAAAGCAAATATTTTCAGTGGCAGCATTGGTACTGTCGAATTCACAAATTATGAATTACTGAAAAGTAGAAAATAAAACAACTAAATAGGCCTAACGGCGTAGGATACACCGCGGGCGGCTCGTATTTAATATAGATCTAGATCTAGATCTAGAAAATCTAGATCTAGATCTAGATTCTAATAGATTTTTTAAAAAAAAACGCCAGCTGGAAGATTTGCTGCCACATATTTGATTAAATGGAGATTTCAATCGTCACAACTGCATACGCACATCTAGTCAATAGGTGACTAGAATCTAGATCTAGATAGATCTTGACTTAGTAGAGTCTTAGACGTCTAGTGATACTGCTAGCTAGTAAATCGAGTTAGCAGATGTGTGCAGGGTAAGTAGATTAGATCTAATTTTAATTCGTTTAGCGGACTAAGTGACGTTCGGGGCTAACTTCAGGCGTGTTTGGAAAACATATGTCTGCCAGGTGTGTTATAAGTTATAATATTATTTAATTACGTTTCTTCATATTTTTTCACCTTTTTTTCACTTCTACTTTTAAATAAAGATAACAAATCGGTTATTTAGGCCTAGTGCTAACCAAGCGGATCTTAATTAATCCCCCCCCCCTCCCGCAACCAATCATCTCTAAGCGTAAGTTAGAATAACTTAGACCTACACTACTAGAATCTAGATCTAGATTCTAGATATCTAGACCTTCTAGATCTTAGTAGAATCTAGATCTACACTAGGCTACTCTAGTACTCTACTGTTTCGCGTCTCACATTTTCTCCAAGTTCCGTGTTACCGTGTAATTTAGTGTGTAACTGGAGTTATAGTGTGTAAAGTAGTAAGTGTTGTAGTAATAAGTAATAGTAAATAGTAATAAGTCAGTACTGTGTACTGTTAGCAGTCAAGTGGTAAGTAATCTAGACTAGATCGTCTAGATCTAGAAAGCTAGATGGATAATTACTTATATCTAGATCTAGATCTAGGCTAATTTAATAGTCTCTATATTTATTATTAGATCTAGTACTAGATCTAGAGATCTAGTATTATACTAGATCTATAACTGAAAAGTATACTCGATATAATTAAATATATAGTGATATATTATCTAGATCTAGGCCTAGTGATAGATCTAGATCTAGATCTAGATTTCTAAATCTAGATTAGATCTGAAGCAAAACGTCTCCCGGCCTGGCCTCAACCAACCGACGGGCTCGTTGCATACTAGATTCTAGATCTAGATCTAGATAGATCTAGTCTAGATCTAGATCTAGATCTAGGTCTAGATCCATTGTGCACCTAAGGAACATGATATTAAAGTGTGGAATACTTGGACAAGACAGCCTACAAATTTGGACAAAATTTTAATTCATACAAAATTAATTCGGCCTAGGCATCTAATTAAGTCAAATTTAATGTCTTCATGTTGTGACCCACATGCCAACTTTGAAACGAATATGTCTGTTAGAAGTGCCCAAACTTTTGCTCGCCTGTGGCGAATAGCTTGTTAAAATTGCCAAAAATTTCATGCCTTCGCCAAGGTGATGGTGGCCATCTTGGATTTTATTTACCTTTTTACATCAAAATGACTCAAAGATGGATTATGCAAATTTGATAAAAACTTGCAAGATTTAGAGTTGCTAACAACAGTGATGGATTCATTTTAAAATACTTTTATTTTTACAATTATTTCTTTCAGAAAATCACTTTAAATAAAACGGGAGTGATCTCTACTAAACTTTCTTGAATTTATATAACACTACGGGGATGGCAACTCAGAATATAAACATGATTTTTAATCAGATTTTACATACTAAAAAAAAAGGATTGTGCATCAAGTGAAAGGCAAACAATACGTGTATAGTGCGGAATATTAGTACTTTATAAATTCATATAGGTTTTTTGAGAAATCGGAAATAGTGTACTACTTCCGCTAAACGGAAATTACTCAAAATTTGACAGAAGGCAGAGAATTAGATCTTTTACTTTTATCTGTGTGAAAGTTTTAGGCTTTTGAAAAACCAAGAGTAGAATAAGTTCCACTTCTGGTTACCGGAAATCGCTCTAAAGTTGATACAGAACTACAAATTTTATATTTGAAATTTCACAAACTAGCTGTAACGGTACTAAAGTTATCGTGTTCACAGACATATACACACACACACTTAGACACACAGATATATGGACAAAATTGTTTTTCGACTCAGGGTGGTGTAAAACATTAAGATTTGTGAAACTCTCTATTTCAATTTTTTTGCACGATTACAATACGCATATGAGAAAGTAAAAAACATACATTTGTGCAAAAAATACACCATTTTAACTGTAAAAGAAAAACCATAAAAATTTTCAAAAATGTGTTCTATCAGTTTTGTTGGTAGGCCTATATGTACAGAATAACCATAGAAAATTTTAATGTTAAAATTGCAAAAAAAAAATCCAAGATGGTTGCCATCACCATGGCAACGGCAGGAAATTTTGGACCATTTAAATTTTTTTAGACTTAACTCTTTCAGTTATAACTATATGCTAGATATGATAGCATTAGGTTTATTAATAAGCATTTTGGCTAATTTGGTTTTCATCTCCTGCCCATGCCCTTAATTAAATGCATTGAAAGTAATAAGTAAGAAAAGAAAACAAATTTGCTTTCTTTAAGGTCGCAAAAATGTGATGAGCCACAAATGTATTCATTATAGATATACTATATTGCAAGCACATTGTCTTTATTTTCTTATTGTCAGTGCATTTAAATATAAAAAAAGCATAGGACGGATAAAGCAGGGAATAGACACCACATCATGGTATTATGATCAGTTGGTTACTATTAGCCTATGAGGCCCCAGTTGACACCCCACCTTTTAGATTCCTCCTTCACAAAAAGTCAACCCCCCCTACCTCGCAATCACACCACACCTCAACATACACCCCACCTCCCAAATTGTATTTTTATTTTTTAAAGAAGGATGAAAGACCCTTATAACTCAAAATCACATTTTGATGACACATGTGTTGATTTCCACTTTGGATTTTCTCTCAGTATTCAAATTGGAGATAAATAATATACTTTATTTTTTATTTCAGCTACTGAAAATTGACCTTTAAAAGATTGAAGAAATTTACAATGGCTGTTGATATGTCTGCTATAGGGTATGTTAAGAAAATATACTTTATATAAACATCTTTTTATATAGTCAAATCAGTTATTTATTGCAATTTGCAAAAGTAAATTCAGATCTCTATGGTCTATAATTTTTAAAAAGGCTTCTTTTGGCTGCTTGTACAATGGGAAATAAATGTAGACAAAGATTTATATTTTTCCATTTTCTTTTATTCTAAACTTATAGAAAAACACTAGTTGTGGAAAATTGTAATAGTAGGTATGGCTAAATGTTTACTAAAAAAAAAAAATCTGACACTTTTTTGACCTAACAAATGTTTATTGAGAAAGAAATTTTAATTATTTAAATCTTCATAGAAGAATCTACACAATTTTTTTTTAAGTTTTAAACTTTATTTTGCTGAATTCACTTTTAAAAATGGTTGATTGCATCACTTAACTTGTAGAGTTTATATAAAATAATACAGAAATAAATTTGATAACACCGGGATTGTGTGTTTAACTGCTTAGCACTAACAAGAATGAAAATTACCATTTAACTCCAATAACAAATTATGAAAAAGTAAAATTCAGATTCATTTTTAAGAAAAATGATTGTTGAAGTTCTGTTTTTTGTTATATAAATTTTAAAAATATTTAAACATGTTTTTTTTAAAACTACTAAAGTATCCTTTTGACTATTCATAATGAACCTCCTCTGTTATTACTGTAAGTTGTAAGGTTATTCTTTTCATCTTTTCTCTTATCCTTGTCCTGGTAACAACTAACTATGGATAAAAACTAACTCTGCTTGTAAAACTGCTTAGTATTTAAAACTCATTGCTGTTAACACTTAATTTACAAGAATCACATTCTTTAAATAAAACACATGATAAACATAGTCAATTTTTCTACAGTAATCATTTGTCATTTAAGTAATGATAGTGTCAGTAAATATTAAAATATATTTAGACAGAAGATTAAATATTATGGTCTTTCATTTTTGTCAACTTTAATTATTTAAGGATCAAATTTTACCAATAATTTCAGTCAAATTTTATATTTTATTATTCAATGTGTTATATATGATGAATAGGTGTGTATTTTATTCTCTCTGTGATCAGGTATACATTTGAAGATATCCAGGGCATGGCTAATGCAATCCTAAAGCATACCCCTCTCCGCCCCAAGGTGGGTCTTATATGTGGAACAGGTCTAGGAGGAATAGGAGATGCTGTTGAAAATCCTGTAACAATTCCTTATGATAAAATACCCGGATTTCCTGTCATTACAGGTAAGCATAAATTGTTTACCAATTGGATGAGAAATGTGGAAGGATTGGACACACTTTGCACAAACCAACAAACATCACCAGACAGGAATTACTTTGGAACCCACCAAGGAGAGGTTTAACTAAGTAGACCCAAACAGGCTTGGAAAAGATCATTGTCAAAGAAAGCCTGAATGTCATGGACCCAACTTGAAGGAAGCACTCAAAACTGAATAAGATGGAGAGGTGTGGTTGCATCCCTATGCTCCACAAGTTAACTTGAGATAGCATTAAAAGCTACGTGGCTTATTTAAATTTGAGAAGGTAGTTTATGCATAACATGTTTTATTTTTATTAGTCATCAGTTGTGCACCCAAGATGTTATGGTTGGCCATGTCTTGTTTTCAGTCTGGCTAAGTCTCATTGATGATTCCAAGCTTCTTGCCTGACTAGAGACTGGTTGTTGTTTTTGACAAATCTGAGAGTTTACAAAAGTTGAGATGATTTAACTTGAATTCTATTATTTCTTTACAGTGGTGGGGCATGCTGGGAAATTTGTGATAGGCACTTTAAAAGGAAAACCAGTTCTTTTAATGATGGGAAGATTTCATTATTACGAAGGACATCCTATGTGGAAGGTTTATTGAGATTTATTTTTAAAAATCTGCCTTTTATATTAGCTTAGTTTTTACTGTGATAAATTGATAGATCCTGAAGGTAATACATTAATAAATATTAAATAAGCTAAAGATGTTATGATGTGAAATATGTCATGTGTATGTTTGACATGCCAGGTTGCCATGCCAGTCCGTGTCATGAAAGCCATGGGGATAGAAACCCTACTGTTAACCAATGCCGCAGGTGGGCTAAATCAAGACTACAAGACAGGTGACATCATGCTCCTGACAGATCATATTGATCTACCTGGTCTAACTGGAGAATGTGTGCTCATTGGTAAAAATGATGAAAGGTAATTTTTCTTTTAACTTCTTTAGCTTGTTTGATATTTATATTTTTTTAAAGAATTATGACATTGTAATTTCAAGCTACTAGGATAGTTAAAATAATACATTTAAGTTCAAATAAAAAAGTTTGTACGGAAAATAAATAATAAGATTGAAGTGTTGTTCTTCAATACTTTTTAATGTTTTTAATGTGTAATGAAAATTAAATATTTATTTTCTAACAAAAGGTTTGGTCCAAGATTTGTTGCTACCAATGGAGCCTACGATGTAGATCTGAGGCAGAAGTTCTTGAAGGTAGCCTCTGATTTGGGTCACGCCAAATTAATGAGGGAAGGTGTTTACATTATGATTGGTGGACCCACATTTTCCTCGGCAGCTGAAGCTCGTGTGCTGCGCATGTTTGGAGCTGATGCTGTTGGTGAGTTTGTCAATAATCCTCTGCATTATTAGTGTTTTACAGGCTCCTCTTTGTATGATTTCCAACTTTAGTGACTGGAATTCCTTAAGCACCTGGTACAACCTTGTTGGTAACTTATCTTCTTTTATTTTAAATTTTCACTTGTCACAAGTAATTCAATGAGATTTTACAAAGGTTGACCTGACTTGCTGTGTTGAGTTTAACATACACACACGATCTTCTTCTTAATCCTGTTCGTGCCCAAGACACAAATGACAGATTAAGTAGAGTTCATCTGATTTATTGACCTCGGCATATGAAGGGATAGTGTGGTCAGCACTATGCCCAGTTGCCTATGTTTCCCTAACGTAAGTTAGGTACCCATCAGAGCTGGGTGGACTCAGGGATGTTCCTCTGATTTGAACCCCGATTTGAACTTGCGACTCTCGGATGAGCAGTCTAGCTCTCTATTGCTAGGCCACGCCGTCCCCCCACACACACAATCTAGGTTGCTGTAATACACCCCTTCCACTTATATATTTGACAGGAATGAGTACAGTGCCTGAAGCTGTTGTGGGGCGCCACAGTGGTATGCGTGTGTTTGGGGTCTCCCTCATCACTGACATGGTGGACCTGGATGTGGGATCTCAGTTTCAGGTCACCCACGAGGAGGTTTTAAAGACAGCCAATGAACGAGCCCAGCTAATGCAAAAAATGTTCCTGAACTTTGTACAACTTATTGACTAGATTTGATGTTAACTACTTTTAGAGAATAGTAATGTTATCGTTTTATAAGTAGATATCTTTTTACGAATGAAACATTGTATAAAAAGTAAATTATACACATTTTCTGTGAAAAGCAAATCATATATTTTATGAGTTAAACATTACTGAAAATTATAATTTTGCCATAAAGCAATAATTTGTGGAAACAGTATGTGAACAGATTGATCCATTGTAAACATGTATGCCTTCAAGCAAAAGCTCAATGTTTTTTTGTTTTTAACTCTGTCTTCATCAGAGTTGTAGCAGATTTGTATAACCATAGGAAGCAAAGTTTGTGTTGTAGCAGAATTGTATTACCATAGGAACATAGTTTGAACTCTTGAAATCAATTGTATCTTTGCTTAGAAATTTTTTTTTATTACATTTAACAGTTAGATTATAATAGTTAGCTTTTCAGCAATGATTAATAGCTGTATTTTACAGAAATGTTAAAGTATTGTGTTTACTAATAATGTATAAACAGTCCTTGCTCAAACTTGTATATTTATCTAATTTTTCAATAACTGACTTAGATTTCCAGAAAATGACCAGAGACGATCCTTTTTCAAAAGTGATAATTTTACACTTCATTTGTTCTTCTTTATTTTATGGGAAAGAGGCTGTATTATTAGGACTTGGAGATTGAGCAGCAACAATATACATGTCATTTTTAAGTTAAATAAACATAATAAGAGCAAATTATTTTGGACAAGCTTGACATTTTTATACCTTTCTAGACATCAATGTTTGATTCCATTTTTATTTGTTAATGCATCATTTTCTCAAAGTGCTTCCATTTAAGTTTTATTAGTAACATTAATTGCATTTAACAAGATTATCTGATATTCAAGATTACTCTTGTGGTGAATCAAATAGTTGTTCATTGTGATTTAGCTTAGTAAAATATTTTGATGGAAACCTAGCTGCTCAATTGAAAAAAAATCAAACTTTGTTTTTAAGTGTCCTATATTTGAGGCAACTAGTCTGATCTCATGACATAATATACTTTCATGTAGTGCTGTAAAATGCCATTTGCCTGAGAGAATTGGGTCAGACTCAGCATTTACAGTACACTAAATATTGTATTCATTGTATAGTGTTTTATTTTTGTAATCTTTTATACATCTTTGGAAATAGCTTAGTATGTGCTAACATTCAATTAGTTTTAGAACTCATCCTATATAATTTTTTTGGTATTATATTGGCTACAAAAGTTAAATTTATAATGATTCGTTCAGTATTAAACAGAGAATACTTTTACGCAACATTGTTTTTTTTTTAAAAAATTATTTTTGTATAATCAAGATAAAAATCAAAATTATTTTTTTTTGAGTAACACATCTCTTACAATTTGTAAGCAGCAGTAAACTCAATAATTGCTGTAGAATGTTAATTAAATGTTAGTCAAGTTCTGTAACCCAGCAGTAATTCATGTAACACTGGAAATCCTTATATAATAACATTATATAGTTTTATTTGACTGTTGTAAGCCATCATTATAAAATCATAGTTTATTTTATAAAATGATACAATTTTTTTTCACTGCCCCGTGCTAAACTAATGTAGGGCTTATCAACAGATGATTTCTATATTTCTATTATATATATTATAAGCTTTGGTCTATTCTTTTGTTGACCCACATCTAAGGCAGTGATTTCGTTCAAACTTTCCAGGCTCTGGAGACTATATAAGAAAATGTCATTTGTAATCTAATCAAATATTAAAGCATTCATTAAAAATCAATTTTAAAAGATCACTAAATTCAACATCAAAAGGGGAAATAATAAAATTATGAACTATTTACACACACCTGAGATTTGGCCAACTGGTAACCAGGGACTGATAATTGTTAATTGCCAGCTATTGGTTAGGTTTTAAAGCTAAATTCTTTAGTTCTAAAGTGATGATTGTTTTTGAAAACAGATATTGACCTCTATTTAACTTTATTTTTAATTCAGGATTACTAAAAAGAAGAAAATAAACCAAGTATACAAACCTTTATAAATAAGCTTTTGAATATATTGAAAATAACACTAATTTGCTTTCTTTAGTAAAAGAGTTGGTTGCTTATTAAATTTATTTCACATTTTTGAAATAAATGGTTTTTTATAGAAAGCAAATTTGTGTTATTTTTTAAATTTTCACAGTATTTAAAAGTTTATAATTATAAAGGTTTTTTAGTTTGTTTTATTATTTATGGCTAAATTTATTTTTGAATAGAAAAAATTATTTTATGGATGAAATATTTTGGCTTTGAATTTTTTCTTGTTAATGGTTTATGTTAATTTTAATAGCAATTTTGTGATATAAATTGTTTGTAACTCTTATTCTCAACTAAAATAAGATGTGATCTGAATAATTTACGCAAGTGCTTCAAATATTTTTGTATTTGCACATTTCATTCAAAGAACAAATATAATAAAATAAAAAAAGCATTATTTAGAATTTTTAACTTTACTTTCAATGGAGATGTTTGTATTTGTTTATAAAACTTTTTTTATTAGTCTACAAATATTTCTTAGAATTTCTGTGATGGGATTTAGTATCATTTTAATAAAATAGAAATTTTCTAGATGATATATATTGTTATCTTTTCGTACTAAATTGACTTACCTTTATCTAATTTGATGTAATATTTTCATGTACCTTGTGAGGCAGGCTGACCTGAATTAAGGACACTTTTCATGTTATCTTCTCTGGCTGTGTATCTAACACTACCAAGGTAGACTACAAATGTTAATGCAGAATGCTGCAGTAACCTTTATTTCACTTATCAACTAAAAAACCTACACTATAAAAAACATAAGCTTTTAAATTTAATAGGTATGTTCATAATATATTTAGATATATATATATATATATATATATATATATATATATATATATATATATATATATATATATATATATATATAGTGGTACCTCAACATACATGATATTTAAGATAGGCGAGATCGATTGAGCGATTATTTTGCTGTAAGTTACAAAGAAAATGTTTAAATACGTGGAACCAGTCTGGTTCCACAGTTCATGGAAAAGAACAGACAAGTTTTCAAGAGGTACAGTAGCAGATAAAACAGGCTTTTAAAAAGAAATGGCAAAAACAAAATTGTATGATACATGAATGTTTATTTTTACAAAGGCATGATGGGGTTTAAAAATTCACTAACATATACAAAAGTGCTTGTATCAATATTTAAGATGTTTGAATGTGTCTGTCACGTTGAGCTACATGGCGTCTTCTTTACAATGGCCATCTTCATGTCAGGTACACAAACCATATCGTGGAATGAACATTGATAAAAACAACACTTAATCATTACTGACTGAATATTCACAATATTTAGATCTATTCCATGCAACCATGGTCTAAAATGATCAAGATGAAATGGCATCAATCAAACTGGTCTTTATTTTTCAATAAGTAGGCAGCTAAAAACTCAATAGGGTTTGGTGGCCTAGAAAGAGAAATTTTAAAAATTAATATAATAAGATTCATTAAATATTTTTATTACTTGGTAGTTAATTTGAAATCACAATAATAAAGACTTAGACTTACTACATGTTAAAATTTGAAATACTCCAGAGTCATGCAATTGATCAAAACAAAAACAAAAAACCCCAGCTATTATATAGATATATATATATAGATAGATATTTATATATAGATATTTATATATATATAGATATTTATATATATATAAATATATATATATTTTCATCTATGCACAAGTATATAGCTCTCTACATAAATTACCTCTCTCTGGCCAGGACAGACATTCCAGAAAGTAATATAGGAACAACAGTCTGGTCCAGGTAAGCTCTCGTTGGAAGGGATTGGAGATCTACTTTTGGTCTTTTGCTTGGAATTTCAGCTGCTTCTTTCTCACTTGTAATGATTTTCTAAAAGTATCAAGTGTAGGAAAAAAAGTCAAGCAATTGGCAAAAAAACAGTATTTTTGTGTTGCTTCTAAAATAGGATGGATGAATACAATATCCTTGGTAGAAGGTACTGAAAAATATGTCAGAACACAAATTTAAGATATAAGTGAATATTTTAAAGCTAAAATAAATTGTTAGATTTGCCTGAGATAAACAATGTTTACAATGTTGTGAAACAAAGTAATATGGTAAGTCTGTAGAGCTCAAGCTATTGTAACATATCTAAGAAAGAAAAAAGTTAAGCAGGTTTCAAAAGCATAATGAATGGGTTAAAATATGAAAACATTTCGTATGCCAAGTATTGCGCTGTAACTACTTGTCTATTTTTGTGAAGGATATCATAGTTATATATTGTATATTTTTCTTTTTTTTTCTTATATAATATAATCAAATGGTATTTTTTTGGTTGTATAGTTAATTATGCCTCTTAATTGAATTAAGGCATTAAGGTGAGTAATTTTGTTTAGTTTAAAGTGATATAGTTACCTGTATATTGTCTGGAACATCCTGTGATTCCATTGTTTCAGTTGAGAGCATAGCCGCACTAATGGGCCTTGATGCTGTATCTAAAAAAATAATTTATTTTATATTAAGTACATGGCATTAAGATAATATTAAAACAACGTAGCCAGTTTTTGCGAAGTAGATACAAAAAAGAAATTAAAACTGCTAATAATAGGTTGAATTATGGATTTTTTTAAATAAAATATTCTGTTATTTCAAATACACCATTAAGTTCCTTACCCCTTAAGAGAACATTTGACACCACATTTGAATATCTAGCTTACTCGGTTGACGAGAAAAGAGAGAATTTGAAATTTTTCCGATATTGGAAAATGAAAGACAAAACCGCGTTTTAGCCCCTCGACCGGCATAACATTACGTCGTGGACGTGTGTACACGAGCTATTAATTCCCGCCATGGTAATTGCGTCAGCTTAGGTTATTTACTCACCGGAAAATAACAAAAAGCAACTGAACAAAAAGCAACTGGTTGATAATAAAACTAGATCTAGTTATTTTATTATTTATTAAATTCTACTCTACATGTTATTCATACCATTTTATGAAATAATGAGCACCTGCATAAATCAAATGACCATAATAAATATTTTTATTTCAAATCCTAATTTTAAATAATATATGCATAAAATAATATGATAGTGTAATAGTTAAGATAGTTTATAAATAAAAATACATTTTACACTCAATCACTTTATATTGAGTCAACAGTGTGGCAGCTGAGGTTCATACATGGTATTCCGTATTAGTGTCTTTTTTTTTTACATTACATTTTTTTTCATCTTGAAATCATGACGTATGTGATTTTTTTTTTTTAAATAAAATCTCCAAACATCGTCACTCGCGTGATTGCTTGCTTACTTTTACTATCCTGTGGATGAAAAATCCCACCACGGTCGCGGGTCACCGTGAGTTCAGCAGGCCTATAGTACACGTCATAGAATGAACACGCGTACACGAGATGGTCGGTGTCTTCACTTCTCTCTCTCTTCCCCCCCCCCATTCTTCAAGCAAATTGAAAACCAGACCTACTTCCCTACTTCTGGACATTTTTTTTAAAGTTCGGTCATTTTTTTAAAAGTTCACATATCATTATCAGGCATGCTAGACAGCCAGCTGTATAAAAATTATTTTTTTTTAAACTAGATCTACGTCTAGCTTAAAAAAAAATAAATAAATAAACGTTTAAAATGCCCGTAAACAGATTATTTAGCGCAAAAAAAAGGCCGCTGAACGAGCATTTTTTAAAATACGCAGCAATGAAAAAGGCTAACGGCCGATCAATTAAGTCTAAAAATCGCCCGTAATTAGGCCTAGCTTTGAAAAAGGCCACTGAACGAGCATCACTGATTATATAAACGAATAGGCCACGCAGCGTTGACGAGGTTAACCACCGGTCACGAATGCAGCAACTGTCGGCCCACAGTGAAGAAAAAAAATCAATATACTAATAAAATTACTAATACAATAATAATGTCCATAATTTTACTTTTTCCGCACATGCTACAATTGAATTATAATTAAAATACTAGATTTAACAGTTCATTCCGCAAAAAACAAAAACTAGTTGTTTCTGTGAGGTAACTAGCGTAACAATGACGTCATGATACTAAAAATAGCGGATAGAAATGTCAGCGGGGGTACCTCATCCTCGAGTGAGATTTTGGAAAAAGTAATCAAAAATACTGTAAATATACATGATAAATATATCAATTATATATTAATGTACAGTTAGTCGAGCCGTTTTCCCCGTTAGTCGGTCGTTTTTGGCGGCGGTTCAGTTTTTACGGAGAGTGCTCCACTAGACATCCTCTCATTATTTACAACCACGAATCTTGCGATTTTTTCTGGCATTCTAAGGCATATTATCCATTTTATTAGCAATTTGCATTAAAATAATGATGAGAATTTGCGATATAAACAGTTTTTTCATTTGTCGTGGATGGGACCCCTAAAATAAACGTAAAACCCGTCAGAAAACGACGCGTGACGTTTCAGGGTCAGAGGTCAATCCTACCATCTAAGCAATGCGCCAGACTACTAATAAACAGAGTGTGGCAACATTGTGTTATCTAGCGAGAATGAGTAATAGGCCTAATAAATATAAAGGAGTGTGGGAATGTCACAACAAAAGTATTTTTAAAAGTAACAAGTTAAAAGCATCCATCAGGCAATATATTGACTGATGAAGTGGATGCCATGGGGCTAAAAGTCAAAGTTTGTCATGGACTGGTGTGGCTGTGGTGTAACCAACCAGTCCAGTTACTGTCTGTGACTATGCTGCAAGCGCTTCTCTAGATCTACATATTTTATGCAATGTACCGTGAGCCATATATGCACACAAGCTGATATTGATACTACACAACGGTACAATTGGTAAAGTAAATCGACAGTAGTAGTTATAGATAACTTGTGTAAGGATAAAATTAAAATCGGTTGGTAAGTCAACAAAGTAATTCTACCTTCCGCCATGTTTTTGTTTCCAAGGGAAGTATAATAATTGTAGCCTCCCTTTACTAATTTGTTTTCATTCGCCGTTGTGATTTTCATAATTTATTATTATTGAAACCTCCTGCACACACAATTTTAAAACACAATAAAGGCTCATAGTTCCAAATAATGTGTTTGCCACCATTATAACTACCAACCTGTTTTTCGGAGCCTGCCTTTTGTCCAAACAGCCTCTCAAAAGAGACTACTTTAGTCGTATAATGAAGAAAACAATGCGCTCACAATGCTTGACCTACTTACAAAGCCAATTCCCGCGGCATACTGTTAGGCTCTGGCAAACCGGCGAAAATTGAGTGAGAGTGAAAACGTAGATCTAGATCTATGTGATAGTAATCGTTTCTTGCTAGATCGAGATCTAGACCAATATAGGCTACTATTGTAAAATTAATCCTTGAAAATTCGGGAAAAAATCATCACTAGCCTAACACTTCAAATAAGACATGTCTAAAGTAATTAATGACTAAAAAATTGTCTAAAATACTAGATCTATAGACTAGATCTGATTACAACACAAAGCTTAGTGAAGTGTCTAGTTATAGTTTGAGACGGAAAAATAAAATATTTTAAATACGACTGAATTGTTGATTAGTAAGAACATGAATAAATATTTAGACTTTCTTCTTCTAATATAAATAATAGGCCTGCAATTCAGATTCCCCCCCCCCCTCCCTTTTCATCTTCCATATCCATGAACAAGTCGGTATATTATGCGGAAAAATTAATTAACATAGATCTAGATAATATCTAAAATTTAAATACATTTTGTCTGATCAGGCCAAAGCTTCGGAAGTAGACGTACCAAAGAGAACCAATCGTTTTTGCTTGTAGAGACTAAAAATAATTATGTAGAATGCTGAAGACGCTTATCGGCAACCTTAGCCTCAAGTGGTTGGGTACAGGGCTCACGTCTCTCTGGTGTTGACTTTGGTTCTCATTAGTAATGTGGTAGGAGCAGGCGGGTGTGGTCCTCACCTGGTGACACTATTTAATGGGTTACCCAAAATAGAAAATTGCAAAATTTACTGACAAAACGTTTTATCCAGTTGAATTAATGATAGGACTGGGGTGGAGGTAACACCAAGCCAATTTTTTTAAATGTTCGAAGGGTAACCATGTGTAACGCCTGGAGCTATGGCACTGGGCACATCCTATTCTATTGACCCCATTGGTTTCTACGCCTCGACTGACATAGTTGGGCCCACAGGCTACATGTAGTTTAGTTGTACGATCATGGCAGAATGCTGTGATAGTTATAGGAACGGCTGACCTATCTGTCATGGCTACATAAGCTTACACATTCTAGTGCTGACCACACGTCCGATCGGACTAACCTCAGCAGTGGGGCAATTTATGACGTTTACACACAACACATTCAATTATACCCCCCTCCCCCCGTGTGTGTAGTTATTAATGTTCATACAGTTATTTGTTTAAGGTGGTGGTCAGTCCAAATACATCAGAATACGTTGTCCAGCTTCTGATAGCATTGTCATCAAAATGCGTTAGATACTAAGATAATTATTGACACGTTTGCTTGCTTCTTTATCTGTGCTAAGCTATTTTCCCCCTGGATGTGGCAAAATATATCTTTACTAAAGCACACGAGATTTCCTGGGGAAAAACGAGAGAGAACAGACACATTTTTGTATGTTTTATTGTTGGTACTTTGGTGAACCAGTAGGCTTTAGTACTCGTACAGACTTGCATTGACCAATAGAACAAGTAAAAATAATGCTTTTATTGGGGGGAAACGTAGGATATATATAGGCCTATATTTCTGCTCAAATAATATGTATATCAACTTTGTGCACTATTTTTAACAACATCAAAAATAAAAACACAAATTGATGTTGCTGATGATGATATATTTTACAGACAGTTTATTTGAATAAGTACATTCTGGTTCATGAATTTCACAAAAGTTTTGACAAATAATATATTTAACTAGAGCTATCAGAAGAAAAAAGTCTGGAGTAGTATAACTGGCATGAAATATTTTCACTACTTCAGGGTTACATTTAAACTCCAATGCAGATTTACAGATGAGCAAATGACTTGTGTGAGCTCCCAATGTTTGCGTTATTTTCATTTGGTACAAAAAATACTTGCATGATATGTGTAGACCGCTTAAAGTAGCCTTGAAACATGGCAGCCAAAATACTTTTTTGCCTACTTATACTTTAAAGCACATTATCCATAGCATCATTCTGTTATGCTGCCTTTATTGTCCTTTTAGACAACTATCATTAATTTTGTTTATTATATATTTAAAAGATCATAAATCACACAGAATAAAAGAGATTTTCATTGTAAATAATATCACAAATAGTGTGCAACTTATTTAGATAGAACAATAGATATAATGATAATAATAGATTTCTTTGTATCTAAACAAGTTGCAATCAGTTGTAGAGCCATATTGCTTTGTCATGCTTCATTGATTTTACATCTCAGACAGCCTTTGGAATATTTTGCATAGTTATATTCAAACACTGTTATACTGCATGACTTGAATTTTTAAAAATTTCCTTCTAATCAAACTTTAAACTGAAAAAAAATAAAAATAAAGAGTACCCAACATCATTATTGTTGTAACACAAAGATTTTAGGCTTTTATAAAATGCACCAGTCTTTATCATATGATACATTGTTTTACTAGGTAAATCGTAAAACCTTAAAAAAAAAATTCTACAAATTATGATCCAGTTTAAATAGGCTGATTAACTTTTCAAAAATTATCCTGATAGCATATTTAACGTATTAAATAAACTAGCAATTAACACAAATAGCAATAAACACAAATAATTACTCTCTATTTCAATAAACAATTAGCAAATGGCAGATAAAAAGAAATGAGTCATTTTAAATTGTAAAGATAAAAACAAGGCAAAACCCAACTGGTTAACACTTGCGTGCTGTCAGTGCAACCAGCGAAAAACCCTGAAACACCAATCCCAAACACAATTATTGCAATCATTAAAAAAATATCTACACCTAGGCAATCCCCAAATACTATTGTTTTAACCAGGAAAAAATCTAAGCTTCAGCTGTTTACATTTTTAGATTGATAGGGTATCACTAGTTGCTGTAAGAAATAATATCCCAAACTTACTTCAAATAACTGAAAATCTGACCAAACAAAGCAATAGAAATCTACTGAAAAATATGTAATTTATTGTAATGGTAGAAATAAAGAAAAAACTATTATCAGCTATTTACATGTATCTAACTATCAGCTAATGCAAAATAGGAAGAAGTAATGATTGTCCATAAATACATTTACACTGATTTTAGCAATTTTTTAGGCTTCATGACTAATTTTCAATTACAAAAGAGCCAGCTAATTTTGAGGGCAAAAACCTACATATTTACAATTTTAAAAATTCAATTGAATTTATAGGATGGCTTAACATAAAAATAAACAAATATTCTAGCTAGAATTTTGAGACTAAAGAAAAATTTATGACTTAGTTACCCTGAAGTGTTGTAGTTCAATCTAACATTAACCCACTATTTAAACACACAAAAAATAAAAAATTTCAAATGTTTTACAATACTGTATTAAATACTTAATGATAAAAACAGTTCTATATTTTACCAATATAGTTACTGTGTCAGCATTATGCTTAATACTAGTTATACCCATAATAAAGTTTACTTTATAATGCTAGAAACACTCACTAAACATTTATTCAATACAATGTTTATATTTGAAGCAGGGTTAAATAATTCTTTACAAAATTTTAAACCACTAATGAATCCAAATTATCCTAATAAAATAAGCTATGAGATAAGTCACAACACTACAGCAGTTGTTACAAGCTTAAAACAGTAAACACAATGTAAGTTACATGATCAATATTTGTGTAACAATGTTTTTTTAGCTTCACCATTTTAAAAAAAAAAAAAAAAACAACAACAAAAAACAACCCACAATTAACAACCTAATGCTGATTTTCTACAAAGACAGATAATTTCTTTACTAAAAATGCTGTAACATAGCATGATAATGTAAAGATTCTTGATATCATTATTTTGTTTAAAAACCCATCAGAAACATACAACTATGGCAGATGTAAGCAAAACAGCTGAACTTAAAATAGCATTTTTGTTATGTGTATATTACATTTATTTTTAACTAGTTCATTTATTTTACAACTCCAATCACCAGACACAGAAATGACTAGTATTTAAGAAGAGCCAGACAGCAAAACAATTTAACTAGGATTTTCTAATTTGACATACCATATAACTAGTAAAGCTGCTGCTTTAATTCTTTAAGAACAAATACAAATTTCAACATTTTAGTTTTAAAATATTATGTAACATGGAAAATTATTAGTCTCATTAAAAACAATTTTAAAAAATAACAACTGCATACTATGAATAATCCTTTCATTAAATGTAAACATTTTAAAAGGTTGAAAAAAATATATCATGGCACAATAGATTTCTAAAATGAAAAAAAAAACTTTTTTTGTAATTGTCGAGAAATTTTAAGTTTGGTGCTGATATATTATTAAATTACAACACTGAAAAATGGCAAGATATACAATAGAAGTTTTAAATTGAAGATTACTTTTTAATTTGACCAAATAAATTAGCTGCCTCAGAAGGTCACATCTAACATACTAACAATGTAAATTGCCTTTCTTGAGTCATGACCAGCATAACTGGTGTATTTAAAATTATGTTTTATAAATTTATAAACTGCAATTTAAAATTATTAACTTCAAGCAAAAGTGATTTATTCTATTTTGATTAAAACTGACCTATTGATATATAAAAGTATGATGTAAAAAGTAACATCTATAGTGCTGTAAAAATGTATTACTATATTTGATATTATAACTAACATAATGCAATAAAAGTGAATGAATATCTTTACCAATTGAGGATTTTTGTGTGACCATGGACCTCTTTTATGTCAAACAATTAATCGATGATAATTTTGTTTACTATAAAAACAATTTTTTAAAACTTGTCTACATATTTAAATAAAGGAATAAATGTCTAAAAACGGAAATTAATATCAAATTCATGGCATGTAAAACAAAGTTGATAACAAAAGACTCACAACCCACAACCACAGCCTGCCAATAAATGGTGTATGGCATTGTTAGATAAAAAATAAAAAGTTGTTGCACAAATGTTTAACTAAATGTTTATACCAAAACATAACCTTTTTACATCACTTAACATCGCACCGTTTTAAAAAGTGTCAAAAATCTATAACTCGTCAAATGAAAAAAAGTTCTATTTCCAAAACTTCTACTGTAAATAAATAGTCTAATCAACTATCATACAAAAGTCTTACGACAATTGTTGCGATAAAAATTGAACTACAATTTACATTTCCTAACACTGTACACACAAACAGGAGAGAGAGAGTCATTACAATACTCAAAATGAGGTTTATTAATATTATACTCTGGGTTGAAAAATTTGTGCAACAAGGACTTAAATGCAGTAAGTTAGTGGGTTCCAACTGTACATAAATTACAGATGTCATGACTATCCAAGCAGTATCAAACACATAAATCTGCCCAAAGTTCTACTCATTAGTCTAAATTATAAAACATTACACAGTTTCAATATGATTAAGCAACAAGAAAAAAAAACCCACAAAGTCAAGTGCGAACTCTACAACTAGATCTAGATGTTTGTTAGGTAGTAAATTAGTAATAATAACGTTGTATAGATTGCATACATAATTAGATATTTTTAACTTTTAAAAAAAAATAAAATGAAATAAATCACAGATCAATACATCCTTAAAAATCATTATCTACAGTAAAATGTTATGTTTTTACAAGGAAAGATTAATGTTAGATATTACAAATTATTTAAAAGCAGAGTTAAACTTACAACGTTGTTTACTTTACATGGCATCCTTTAAATGTAATAGACATTACATCATTACAAAACACAGCACAGGATAAATACAAAAAAAAAAAACATTTTAAATATAGGGACTACAAGCTGATAGAATATATGCATGTGGATCCAGTAAGGCAAAACATAAATATTGAAGAGGTGGAAAATGTAAAAAAAAAAACTTAGAATGCTACTGACAATTTTCTCAAGAACTAAATAATTTATATGCAAGGTCTTAAAATATTATAGTTCAATTAATACAAAAAAAAATTACACTTTTGAAAATTATATGAAAATACTTTAAAAACTTTAATTATCCTTTTTAGACGCTTTTTAAAATGTTAACATAAAATAAAATATTTTTTTCTCAACTTGAACTTATTACCTAAAAAACAGTTATTTTCTCATGCTTCTAAAGCAGTTAGTATATTTTCTTGCCTTTCTTAAACAATATACTTAAAGACATAAAAGATATTGTAAATCAAATCAAATATCAAAAGACTAACAGCCACTCACAATTTTTCAATCAAAATGATAAAGTTATGTAAAATAAAAACACTTGTTTTGTACAATTACACACAGGGCATAAATAAAACCGGAGCAGAAGATAAAAAAAAACTGTCGCTTAACTTGTTACCTTATTGTGAAAAGTAGCCTAACCAGTAAAATGGCCTTTAAAGAATGGAAGATGTTGAGTTCATACAATTCTGTTGCCAATACTCAAGCCACACCTTACTTTGATAGGACAGGTATAAGCCACAAGTGGCTTCACAACATGCTTTCACAACCACACATGGATCTGTTACTTTCATATTTTAAACTTGTCTGTTAAGATAAGACCAATATAGTTAAAGCATTATTATGACAAATTGAAAACATGAAAATGGGCAATGTTATAATGGTCATTATTTTGCATCTAGTGCTTTCAATAATTCATTTAGGGGGAATAAACAAAAATAGCAGTAATATTAACTAAAAAATTTCATAATGTATGGAATGCCATACAAAAAGTAATGTTGTAAATGGGAATATCTGAAGTGTAAAACACAAGAAATATAATCCATTTTAACACTTAGCTGCAAATCAATGGAGATATGAGCTAAATAATGTTAAGATTCTAGTTAAACAGGACACATGCTTGTGTTTGTGTGTGCCCATAATAATATCACAGCATTGATAAGAAACTTAATTCTGTTTTAGAAAGCATACAAAATATTTTTGTCACTGGATAACACATGCTTGAGATGCACTGCCGTGATTGCCTGCAGCTTTTGCAAAGCATATAGCTTGCATCCAGCTATTCTGTGTGAGCTCATTCTCTGCGTGGATATAATAAGTGCGCCCATTTTGTTTGCTCCTAATTTGAAAAGCATATTGTTTTTTGTCTACTCTTGTTTCTGAGATATCTGCATCAGTAAGGGGAATTTTTTTCAATGAACCCTGTAATACAAAACAAAAGGAAACACAATTATCATAAAAGAAATCACTTGTGGTGATATTATTAATACTTAATAATTATTAAAATAAAATAATATTTCAGGGCATAACAGCTAGAAACATAGCCCACATGTAAAGTTCCTCATTAGACAGATGAAGTACAATGCAAAGGTTTCTTGACCTAGGCATATAAGTATGGATGGTGTGGTCAGCACTATGCCCAGTCACCTTTACTTTCCCCAGCATAATTCAGGCACTCATCAGAGCTGCGTGGACTCAGGGATGTCCTACAGTCACAAGCCTGAACCGAGATTTGTACTTGAGACCATCGGGCTAGCAGCCAAATGGTCCACCATACTACCATGCAGTCCCATATGGCAGAGGAGAAACAGTCACTCAGATGATCCAACCATTTAACTAAATCAACACAAAAACTCAATGAAAGTAGAACAATGGAATTAAAAATTAAATCTGTGTGAACTTGTAACAAATGTAACTGGCTGAGCTTGTCCATTTTTGGATGGCCACAAAAAATATTAATTTGGTTGTTTGTCTTTGATATGCTGGGACGGAGTGGTCTAGCGGTAGAGAGCTGGACTGCTAACCCGTAAGTCTCGAGTTCAAATCGGGTTCAAGTCAGTAGACAGTCCCTGAGTCCACCCAACTCTGATCGGTGCCTAACTCACGTTAGGGAAAGTAAAGGCGGCTGGGCATAGTGCTGACCACACTATCTCTTCATATGCCGAGGTCACAGAAACAAGTGAACTCTACTTCACTTGCCCCATAGACCGTCAGGTTTGAAAAGGGAACTTTACTTTACTTCTGATGTCAGACAGGAAATATATCATATATGAACTTATATTCCCAGTTAACTGGATCTGAAACAGTCATGTCTTTCATTTAAAATAAATAGGCCCCTGCCCTAAATGTTAGGCCTGACTTTAAAATAGAATTTCAATGGCTCGTTGGTGTCGATATAACAATTTATTTCAGTATGCTACAATTATACTTCAGTAGGCTTTGCAGTGGTAAGTAAGTTGAGTGGTTTAAAAAATATAACATCAACAAATAAACAACTTTTTTTTAAGAAGTTAAAGAAGTCTTTTTCACCTGCGGTGATTCACTGTAGTACAGGTCACAATTTCTTAATAGGAACCACTGTTTCTTCCATTTTCGTGAAAGCCTAGCTCGCTTCATTAAATAACCTCGTATTTCTGTTTCTGTCATTTCAGCGTCAGGCTGAGAATCAGATCGATTTGATAAACTATTTGTTTTCTGACTGTCAGTTGTAACTGAGTCAGAGCAGGAAGCCATGTCAAAAAAACTTGTCAACAACTGCAGTTATCCACAATAGTGCTGCTATGTCGTAATGTTGCTGGCATTGGAATTTATAACACTAACAGAAATATTGAAATTGCTTTAATTATTTTAGCAATAGACAATGTTTTAAGTTGTTATGTTTCAATATTTATTTTAAGTAATCAAATTAATCTGTTTTTACTAAGACATATATATTTTACGACATAATTTTTTATTTGGCTTGAAAAATTTGATTTCTTATATTAGATTTGTATTTTAATGAAAATTTTAATTTATACGTTTTGAGTTTGAAATGTAAAATTATATATTTTGTTTTAGACAACTAACGAAGTTTATTTTAAACGTGTATGCTTTTTAAAGACTGAAGGTTAAATTATTGTTTATTTGCTCGTGACATTTTTTTTCTAAGGGAAAGAAGAGAGTAATGAACTACCCTATTCCGGAATTATTCATGTTCGCATACTTTATCACTTGACGAATTGGCCTGATTTTCGCCAACTCCTCTGCTCGCTGAGGGGTTAGGGCACTTGATCTATTTTATGCATATTTATCCGGCGACTCTCGACAATGATTATTTAGATATTTATATATTCATATCTTGTTATAGGATTGAGGTACAGCTTGAAATACATGTGTACTTTATAGAATTTGATTTTTCAGTTTTCAAGGATAAACTTGTGCCTTGTGTGTCGCAGGCGCTGTCAAGTGTCGCGCACATTTTAATAGGCAAAAATGGATCCCGATACACCTTTTCGAGGGCGGATATCTTTTTACATGCAAATAGGCTTAATGAGGGAACTAAAGTATGTTGATTCTGATTTAACAATGCCGATTTTACACGAAATAGCATGTGCCTTTGTTGACAGTAAGGTGAGTAACTTTTTAAAGATTTAATTCGGTCATGTAATTTTTGTTAACAAAATTTGCCATTTTGGTCTTGCAGCTTCTCTTGTAATAATAAAGGTGTGTCTTAGCCACGCCCATTTATTTACTCTCGTTTTACCACTGGCACAAACGTTAAACTCAGTCAGTAAAATTAAGTAGTTAGAACTAGACCTAGAGTCTAGTATGCAAATAATGTATAGATTTAAAGGTTCGAATAAACTGGGGTTTAAGAATAAAAAAAAAACATCAATAGGCCCTAAAGTTAAAGCTTAATGTTTTAAAAATATTTATTAAATTCGTAGGCCTACCCCCCCCCCCCCCCACCCCCCGGCCCCGCCCCCACCCTTTCTCGTTAGGTGGCCTAAAACAAGTAATATTGTATTTTACACCATTATCATTAGATTTGAATTTGATTAATTTTAAGAGGACTTGGGTCTATTCTAGATCAGATTCTTTAGATCAGCATAGTAATAGTAGTATGTATGCCTTTTGGGATGTGAACAAGTAGGCCTACCTTACTGAATGCTTAAGATCAGGGTGATTAGTGATTAGGGCTACTATTGCCTTACACAAATTTACTCTTTTATAATTATTACTGACAATTTTTAATTAACCCTATAGCTAATATTAGACTAGATTCATTTGGTCCTTCACTTATTTACTATTGATATTGTCACACATTTTTTGGTTATTTTTTAATTATTAGTCACAGGAATAGGCCTTAATTTTGCTAGCAGAATGTGGCTCTTTTTATAATAAAATAACAATAAAAAGTTATAAAAAATTTGACTATCATATTTAAGTGAATGCCTTATCAAGGAGAGGACTATTAAACAAAAGTACTAGGCCTATGTTTTAGTATTTATTACTCAATTGATTTTTTAATTTAATTATGTCACTTAACCTTTTGATTAACAGACTTATTTTGCACCTCAGCTTTACCAATGCTACACATTATTAAAAGGTGTTATTTTAAATAAAATGAGTCGTAGGCTGTTTATTGCAAGTTGCCTAAAATCTGTATAATTACCAACAACGCTTATACTATGTAAATTAATATTTTAAAGTTTTATTCGTGAGGTTTATAATATACTTAAATTGGTTCAAAAATGAGAAGATGTGAGTTGATATGATGAACCATAGTTATTCACTTTCTTGTTATCTACAGTTGGAAGCGTTTTGTAAAAAAAATATTATAGGATGTATATATCTATCTATATATATATATATAACAGTCATATATTCAATTCAAGTGGTACTGTGTGATCCTTGAAATCTGATAATATGTGTTAGTGTTAGAGTGAATTGTCTCTCAAGTGTCCACTACATATGTTTAGTGTGATGTAATGAAGTTCTACAGCATTATTCCTATATTTATATATATATATTTGAATGACTACACCATACATAATTGGTTTCAAATGATGATTAATCAGTTAATTTAATGTGTTGATAAATGCAGTTTCACTTCTATAGTTTTAATTAACAATATTTGTTCAAAGCTGAACACCGATAGCACCATGTCTAATGTTTTTTTTGTTACAAGTTGGGCTCTATAACTTTTTAAAGTTTCAAATAACATTTAATGTTATATAAATGTAGTTATGTTTATTTACTGCTATTTTTCATGCTCTTTGTCGAGATTAGCAGGAGTTATGAAACCTTGCTGTAGTTGTTGCCCTTAATATTTTTTTACTGCTATCTTGCCTGAGGACTAATAGTTTTCAAGGTGTCAGTAACTTTGATGTGACTGCTTTGATTTGACCAGTGAGATTTTATCATTAACTCAACTCCATAAACATTGGCAAAAGAGAAACTTCTGGTGTATCTAAATAAATTTTAAAAATCAACTGTTTGCTTGGTTCTACCTACACAGTGCTATGACTAGTTTCTCCTTGAAACATTTGGCTGTATATTTTTTTTTTAGTCTTTTTAATTATTTTTTTAATGTCTGAGTAGTATTTACTTTTTTTTTTTCTCTCCCACACCCCCATTTACCATTTATTTGTCAAGACACCAAATATAATGCATTAAAGGTATTTCCCTCCCCCCCCCCAATGACCATTTATTTGCCAAGTCACCAATTATAATGCAGTAAAAGTCTTTCTCTCCCCCCCCCCCCCCGTCCCAATTACAACTCAAGACACCAAATACAATACATTAGAGGTTTTTCTCTACAACCACCTATCATAAACAGGAGAAAAGCCTAGGAAAAGAAATGGTGGCTAGGCATAGTACTGTCTTCATCTGAAGGCTCCAAATGGGTAAATTTTTAAAGGCTATAAGCTTTATAGCAGCCCCTATAAAACTTGCCCATGCCTTGTAAGAGTGTCGGAATGTCATGATATATACTGCATGTACAATAAAGTAAAATGCCTTTCCCTATCTTGAGTCAGGTACCTACCAGATCTGGGGCTTCACATTGAGCCCCTGATTCAAACTGTAGGTTAGTAGTCATGTGCTCTACCGTCCTACCACGCCATCCCGGAGTGTATGGCTGGGGCCTACAAAAATATTTAAAATATTTCTCCTAGTATATGCACAGCCCCTGTTTATGTAATCGGATAACTAAGATTTGATAAATTGGTATTTTTAGTGTCTTGTTTTATAATTTTTGCTACAGCATATCATGATTGTCACCCCCCCCCCCCCCCCCCACCTGCGTAAAATGGCATTATCTTGCATTTGAATGGTTAATTATTTATTTTTTTGACTTGGCTGTAATAATTGTGACTTCATTTGAGATCCTAGTTAATGTATAGTTTCCTCACTTGGGTAGTATCATCAGGACATTTTTCATCCACTGAACATCTTTTGCTAATTAGATATTTAACATGAGACGTTCGTTGTTTGCCTTAGTGAATGAGTGAATGTTATTGTTAGGGCTCTAGGCTGGTGTCACATACAGTGGCACATCGACTTGCCAGATACTAATGTACAAAATACACGACTCAGCCGGATTTATGTTCTAGTGTTTGGTTGGTTGATGTAGAAATATGGCGGCGTTATTCTTTGTTGATGTCACCGTGTAATTATCCAAACATTAACATATCGGGTTTCCTTCCTTTGTTGCCAGGGTTGGGTTATTTTTTTTTTTACTGTGTGTGTTCATCGCCGTTATTATCGAAGATATTCAACGCTGGCTTCCGCCCGTTAACTTCAAAGTGTGGTCTAACTAATGGCTCGTGCCTTAGGGGTTGTCCACAGTCGACGTCACTTAGTCTCTACCCTCCCCCTTGTTAATTTTCCGGTGGTTTCCCGTTCCTCTTTTTATTTTGGCTTCCTGCGTGGATGCTCTCCCTTCTTTCATTTTTGTTTTTATATCATTAGAGGTTCTAAAGTTATATCTCGGTCTACCCACGGCTTGCTCGCTCGATTCTAGATGTGTATTTAAGGCGGTACTGAGCTTACTACAGCTTGAGAGCCACACTGTTGTATCTGTGTTAGTAAGTTCAGAAGTTGGGTTAGAGTTAGACCATGCTAACGTAAGGCAAGTAACACCATCACCAACACCACATTACACCATCTCTAACACCACGCTATACGATTACAACATCACCAACACAACATTACACCAACACCACATTACACCATCACCAACACCACACAATACGATAAAAACATCACCAACATAACGCTATACGATTACAGCATCACCAACACCACACAATACGATAACATCATCATCAACACAACATTACACCATCATCAACACCACATTACACCATCACCAACACCACACAATACGATAAAAACATCACCAACACCACGCTATACGATTACAACATCACCAACACAATATTACACCATCACCAACACCACATTACACCATCACCAACACCACACAATACGATAAAAACATCACCAACACCACGCTATACGATTACAACATCACCAATACCACATTACAACACCACCAACACCACATTACATCATCACCAACACCACGCTATACGATTACAACATCACCAACACCACATTACAACACCACCAACACCACATTACAACACAACCAACACCACATTACACCATCACCAACACCACATTACAACACCACCAACACCACATTACAACACCACCAAAACCACATTACACCACCACCACCACCACATTA